TTTCAAGGACTTTCAGAAAGTATGTCCCTTCAGTTGGGAGAGAGTTGCTATAGTCACCTATTATTCACCTCAAATACATCTCTCAGTATTACCTAAAGATCTAAGGCTAGTCAACTTTAATTTGTCTTACATTACAAAAGATACTATATATCATTCTGAATATATCCTGGATATAGCTTGAAAATTATTTATAAATCTCTAGTGATGCTCAAGCAAATTTTTGGTTTTTTTTTTTTTTTTTTAGTCGATGCCTCACTCTGTAGCTCAGGCTAGAGTATAGTGGCACAATCACAGCTCACTGCAGCTTCAGTCTCCTGGGCTCAGGCAATTCTACTGCCTTCTGAGTAGCTGGAACTACAGGCATGCACCTCCATGCTCAGTTAATTTAAAAAATTTTTTTTTTTTTATAGAGACAAGGTCTCACTGTGTTGCCTAGGTTGGTTTCAAACTCCTGGGCTGTGCCTTGGCCTCCCAAAGTGCTGGGATTACAGGTGTGAGCCACCTCGCCCAGCTGAGAACTTTACAATTTATTCATTAAATAAAAATAGGTTAATTAAATGACGTTAATGTCATTAGATATTTTAGGCACCCACAGTGAGATACTGCACATATAAAGACATTATTCTGTCCCACAGCTTGCAATCTAAAATTAGATAAACACAGACAAGCCAGATAAACATAGACATACATTTTTTAAGACCAAAAAGAAATGATGGGAGAGAAAAAATGAGAGTAGTGAATCAAAATGGCAAATAGAGTCAACAAATATGTCATCTTCTGCCTTCTATTTGTAGCTTTTATTACCTCTATCAGAAGCAATCGAACTACTACTGTCAAAGGGGAGGTTGTCTAACTGTCCCTCAGGGTGTCAGAACATCCACGGGACTACCACTGTACAGTGTCCTCAGCTTTGGGGGTCCAGACACTTCTTTTGTTTAGTAGTCCTTCCCTGTCCTTGCTTGCCTGACTTTGGATACTAAAATCCATTGCCTCCACTAGAGGTAGAAACTAGAGTACTAGAAACAAGAGCTCAGTCAGTATGTTGGGAAATACTCCCTATGATAGCTAGTAGAGTTCAGAAGTAACACGCTGCAGAGGACAAGTGGTCTGGGAGTGAACACAGGTTCCTAGAGGAACCTAAGTGCACATCAGTTGAGACCTCTAAATTAACCCTCATCCCATGTGGTCAGTCTACAAGGCCTAGCTGGCCTTTTTCCTGAAGTTAGGTTTAAAAACAACAACAACAAAAGAAACCCAAAAAGACAGGTGAGGCATGGTAGCTCATATCTATAATTTCAGCACTTTGGGAGACCGGGGCAGGGAGGACTGTTTGAGCCCAGGAGTTCAAGACCAGCTTGGACAATATAATTAGACTCTGCCTCCACAAACAAACAAAAAATTAAATTAAAAATTTAAAAGACCCCCTCAATGTGCCAAGTTTCAGGATAGGTGGTAGGGGTATAGATAAATATGACATAGGCTCTCTTTTGTAGCTGACGGTTTATTTTGGAAGACAGCTCATAAGCGAACTATTTTAATATAATGTGGTAAATGTAGTGGCAGAGGGGTATGGTCAGGGTAAAGTCCAAAGGAGGGTCCCCAATCCAATCTGGCGTTCAGGGAAGGGTTACTGGAGGAGAGGAAGAATTGTTTTTTGAGAGTCAGGCAGAACCAGGAGAGTATATCCTAGAAGCCAAGAGAGGGCTAAAAAAGAGAGGGAGGAGGCCAAGCGTGGTGGCTCATGCCTACAATCCTAGCACTTTGGGAGGCCAAGGTGGGAGGAACACTTGAGAGTTCGAGGCTAGCCTGGGCAACATACAACATAGTGAGACCTCGTCTACACACACACACACACACACACACACACACACACACACACACACACACACACACATTTTGATTAGCCGGACATGGTGGTGTGCGCCTGTAGTCACAGCTACTCAGGAAACTGAGAAAGGAGGAAGGAGGATCACTTGAGTCCAGAAGGTTGAGGCTGCAGTAAATTGGGATCACGCCACTGCACTGCAGCCTGGGAGACAGAGTGAGACACTGTCTCAAAAGAGAAAGATGGAGAGAGGGAAGAAACAGTCAAATTCTGCAGATGTCCAATAAAATGGAACTAAAGAAAGTCCATTGTATTTGTCATATTGAAGAATTAAGGGGAAATGTAGTAGAACTACAAAGCTTGGTAGTGAAAAGAAAGTGAAGGAGAGAAGAATGTGACATTGAAGGAAGGTTTGTATTCTTTTTGATCAGAAAGATAACTAATCTGAGAGGAAGGAGCTGGTTGGAAAGAGGTGACTGGATGAATCATGAGAGCAGGTTCTGGGTTCCTGTTCCCAGATCCCTCTCCTGTTTTCCCCTGGGATGGGCTCTGACCCCCCCCCCCCTCCTGATTCTACTAGCTCCTTTGCTTTGGGAGTGGGCTTTGCTTCTAGGTTCCCCTTGCATATCCACTAAATGTCAAGAACCATAGTTTCACAAAAGTCCTGATGACCAGCTCCGTTCCCAAACTATTTGTTAATCTATAAAGCACTATTAGACCCACGTGAATGCCTACTGAGTGGAGAATAGTGTATTTGAAAGTAAAGAAGATAGATGACAAGCAAAACCAATTTCCTGTCCTCAAGAGGTTTATGAGGAGTTCTCTGGTGGTAATAAAAAAAAAAAAATCAGTGCAATAAACATGGTATGCTAGCATTTTAACACTATTCTAGTGACTAGAATGTTTCTGGTGACCAGAATGCTTCTACTTACCATCCAGGGCATCATTTCCTGTGTCAGGCTTCCCTGGAAGCTGAACATGGATTTATTAATTGGAAGGGAGTTGATTCAAAATGGATCTGTTACAAAGAGAAGTCTTTGAAGAACTAGTTAATCCAGGCTCTGGATTAACCTGAGGATAAAACCTCTGTAGTAACCGGGGTACTTAACTACCCTGGACAGTGCTTGCCAAACTCTTGCTCGCTGATAAAATTTTCTAGTCTCCAAGCAGACCATTTTTTTCACCTTTGTTATTTACAATCATGTTTGAGTGAGGCCCACCAGGAAATGTACCCTCATCTTCCTCTACCAGAAGTATATGAAAAAGCTCTGGATAACCTTAGTGATTATGCGTGGTTTTGGTCTTTTTTACTCTTGGTGTAATCTTATTTCCAAACTATTGAAGGTGCTCTCCCCACCACCCCTTTTTTCTTAAGCTGAGAACACCTCTTTTATTATAGCTGTTTTGTCTTTCATATTGCCTCTGTTCGGTAATTTAATACTATTTTTCCTTTTTGTCGCAAAACAAAGATTGCCATGTTCAGTAATTTAATTAAAAATGTTAAATGATTTTCTCTTTTAAACTACGATAAAGGAGTTTTCACCTAATTTTTAAGAAAACAAATTTAGAATAATAAAAAATTGTCATAGTCTGTTAAAATGCTAGCATGCCATGTTTATTGCACTGCGGTTTTTTTTTTTTTAAATCACCAGAGAGAACCTCATAAGCCTCTTGAAGACAGGAACTTGGTTTTGTTTGACGTCTATCTTCTTTACTTTCGAATACACTATTCTCCACTCAGTAGGCATTCAGTGAATATACTGATGGATAGATTTTAACCATAGAGTTCTACTAGACTAAACGGTGAATGACCATTTAGCAATATATGTGTCTTCCTAAAGCACAGTCCTAAGTTTTGCTCTTTTACATAATAGAGCACAGAAGGCAATATGTTTTCCAAAAAGACGTATTATCCTCTTCCTAATATGGGGCAAAACAGCATTTATGTGGCATTCTGCTGGTTTAAATTCTAATTAAATTAGAACAGATACAGAGTACCTAGTCCACACCCGGCAATACAGCTGGCACCTATTAAAAGTTTACAGACTCAAAGAATGAATTGGGCAATCGTGTAACTTCTTGGAGACTGCTCCCTTAACAGTAAAATAAAACTATTACGACTTGCTCCACCTCCCGCACAAGACTGCTCTTTGGAACAGTGATAGTGGGCTTAGGCAAGTGCCTTCAAAGCTGCAAAAGCACCTTGCTACTTTCAAATGGACTCTGCGTGTTGACTTGCTGTCACCGCTGTCGCCGGTGTGTTGTCTGGTTATCGGTTACATGCACCCTCCCTAGTAAAGCCCGCGAGTAATGTACATACTCCTTTAAACACGTACAATTGCGTTGTTTCCGACTATTCCTAATTCCTGGTTGCAGGGCTGTGGTGCACATATACGAGCGACGGTGTCAAACTCATACTCTGAAAACACACGCATTTGTCTCGAGTCCTGCTTTCCACCGCAAAGAAATGCCAAGCAGAACCGGCACGAACCAAAGATTCCGCCCTATCACCTCAAGGTGGTAAATGATCGAAGACCCCCAACACAGCGATCCCAAATTAAAGCCACTTTGGCCACCGACAGCGTCCGCTGGAGACGAGGAGAGTCGGGGTGGAAAAGCAGAGGACGGGGACCCCCAAGGGGCCCCCTCCCGCGGAAGCCCCGCGGGACGGCGTCGGGGGCCCCGCGCCCAGGACGGTTGGGGGTCTCGGGGCGAGCGGCCCGGATCTGCTGCCGGTTGGGGTCAGCGAGCGCCGCGGCCGTTGGGGACTCCAGCTCCCAGCAGGCACCGCTTCTGCGGCCGACGCGCCTGGCGGCGGGGCCCGCCGGGACTCGTAGTGCGGTCCGGGTAGGAGAAACGGGGGAGCCTCCTTCGGCTCCGTTCACGCACGTTTCGGAAACCGGGCCTGGAGGGGACCACGCCCGCCCACTCGTGCCGGCGTCCCTCCGGGCGGGGGCGAGTGAGGCAGGGCGGGCCACGGCAGGAAGAGGCCCACGGCGGCCGCGCACGTGGGGGGTGGTTAGCGCGGAGGAACCCGGAAGCCCCCGTGCCCCGCCCACCGCCGCGGTGACGGGTTAACGCTCCTCCGGGCGGAGGTGGGGGCGGGTCGTGTAGAAGGAGGGGCCGACTCCTCTGAGGACCGCCCACGAGCCGCT